CTCATGAAAGGGCCACCTTTTCACCACTCTGCTCAGTTTTGCAAATCGCCTTAATTGTATCGCTGGTACTGAGTGTGGTTACGTATACATTTTAGTCAGTACGTGAATCCTCAAATGTAGAATACGTGAATGAGAAGGCATGATTGTACAATTTTTAAAAATTTTGATAATTATTTTCACTTACTTCCATTGTCTATTTTTTTCTAGTATGAAAGCAAGTTTGTTTCTGAATCATTACAAATGCTGAAATTTGATAATATACATAATAAATTTAAGATTTGTGAATGTCTCTGAATATTAAAGAAAGCAGTTAGGACGTATATGTCTATACACAATAATGTAAATGTAGCATTTTAACACAGTGAATCATAAATCTCGTATATTTTGCAATAATATTGAAAACATCACCTTCAACATGGAGATTTTTCTTATTTCTAAAGAGACTGTAACTAAAAACAGAGCATTTTACTAAGAGTTGGTTACCTTGCAAGTGGTGTAGATAGAAGAGAGCTTGACAGCTACTGTCTCTCCTGATGGACAGGTTTATTTCCAATAATTCATAGGTCATGTTTTAATTGGATTACAGGACTTATTCATGCAAAAATTTTTAGGATAATTTTATTTATCATCTTGAATATGAACTCACTCTTGATAACAAAAAAGAACTCATGTGATGATAAACTTACTAATGTTTGAAAATATGACCCAGAAATAAAGTTTCTCAGAAATGGTTCATGTAATTGCCATGAAAAGAAGGGAATAATCAAACCAGGCCTCAGGTTTGGAAACTGAAGTGCATGTACATGTATTCTATGCACCTGCTCCTGCGGTGCATGTGTGCCAACATTTAAAAAGCTCTCTTAGCATTAGGGTATGTTAATGGGATCTTGGACACTGTGTATTTCTAAATTCAACATTCAGATTGACTTGAATTGTGTTTATAATTTATACTGATATAAAATATGTAAAGAAGAAAAGTGAAGAATACAAGAATTTCTTGTATTTCTTTAGGACAGAGCTGATCATTAAAGAGCCCTTTTGTCTAGGAATGCTTGCCTCACCTCTTGGGAATGGAAACGACGCTGGAATTATCTTGGCCCTTCCTGGACATAATGAGTGTATGATTACAAACTGACTCACGTACGCTGTTATCTTATTAAAACTGTGAAAACCTCCTGAGTCTGAGCTTAACAAAAGAGATGCATACAAAAGGAAAGATCCTAATTATAATCCAGTGAACAAGTATGAATATTCAGAGCAAGAAAGGCAGGTATTTTTTTCCACCTCCTGAGGGAGTAGACTGAACAGATTAGATTTAGACGGGTATCAAAAGCAAAGACCAAAATAGTCAGATGCACAGTTAAGGTAGAGGTGGGATACCAGAATGCGCTATCAGCCTTAAAGAACATAAAATGTTATACTTCAGAAACACGGACAAAGTATCTGAGAAATTTCAGTAGATGACTCCTGCGGTATCTCACTATACCGTAGTTCCATTCCTGGCCTCCCACGCGTGAATGTTTCTTCTCAGGTGTGTGTGACCGGAAGCCCACGTTTCTGTTCCAGTCCATTTTTGATGTGGCGTGGGGGTGGGGAGCTGATACCAAGGAACCAAATCCACACAATTCTCAAGTCGGAAATTTGCTCTTCAGTTTATTTATTTATAATACAAAATACAATGATCAAGTAACCCAGACTACCTGCAATTACAGGAGAACTAAATGAAAATACATGAAATCAGAATATAAAGACTAATCAGATAGTTGCATTCCCGAAGCGTTTGCTTGCAATAGGCCATAGGCTGATGCAATCTGCCAGATCCTTTCTTTCCCTGTTGCTACCGGTAATGTTCTTCAAGCAAACAAATTCTCACCATGTCCTTTACTTTCTAAGAATTTTCCTTCTCATTTATTAACTTCCTAGGTAGGAGTTTGATAAGTGCTTCCTTCCCTTATGTGCTTGTTGAAACATAAGCTGTTGAAGTAGCCGGGGTAAAATCTTCCATTTGTGTTTCTATTGGATCCTGAGTGGATTACAGATGAAGTTCTCTAAACACAGATGGTGCAGTAGAGTTTGGGATGAAAGATTTTTATGAGGCATAAACACCATAAAAGAAATAGAAGGGAAGGTCCAACAGATGGAGTCTTTAAACTCTGATGGTCAAACTTACTAAGAGTTCTCAAGCTAATGTTGTGTGTCAGTCCTCCTGGATCGATCCTCTCTCCTCTAGTAATGTGGGTGGCACAGTGAAGGGTGATTTATTTTTTCCCTCTTCTAAATATTGACCAAAACATTCCCAAAACTTAAGTAGGAACTGATGTCCTACAAGTAAAGGTTTGCATCATTCTTACACTCAAATCATACTCACCCATTGTCATCTGTGAAACCAAGGATTATTTCCAAAATTTCTTGAGGAAACCAAAATCCATCCATACTCAAATTGTACAAAGTGGCATGGTGCTTGGATAAAATCTAGGCATATCCTCCAGAATGCCGTAATCTTCTACAGGTGATTTATAATACCTAATATACTAAAACTACTTGTAAAACTACATATTCTAGGGCATGAGAAGGAAATGTCCATATATGCTTGGTATTAATAAAAGCAAATTTGTTTCTTCAAATATTTTTGATCTGCTGTTGGTTTCATCTGGTGAAAAACCCATGTATGTGGAGATCTGACTATATTAGAAATCTTGTAGTCTTATTAGAAGGCAATAGTATAGAAAAAATACTAGTAGGTAGTTCCTTGGAGGGATCAATCCATCGATCTCTCTATCTATCTGTCTATCTATCTATCTATCTATCATCTATCATGAACCATCTCAAAGGTGTTTTATACTTAATTTTTAAAACTTTTAAGATACATTTTCCATGTTTTTTCATTCATAATAATTTTAGAACTTAAAATATTGGGATTTTAAAAAATATACTATTTTATATGTTAGCTTTTACAAAGAGCTAGCAAAGGAAACTGTTGTCATAAACTTGTAATGCGGTCTGTATTTTAAAACATACTTTCCAGTTTGGACAGCATTTACCTGCATGTACTACTGATTTATTTCAATAACGATTTTATTCATGCTGAGCACATGTGGAATAATAGATCTCTAATAATTTCCACCGATTTTAGAATAAATTTGCCTCTCCACCAATCTCATATGTCTGTTATCATCAAACTGTTTATTTCCTTTCTTAATACTGTACTAAAATGTTCTACAAAATATATTTTTGAAAATATTGTGTTCACACAAATATGCATAAACCAAGAAGGAAAAATGAAATCATCTGTCATAAAATCTATGCTTCATATTAGGGACCATATTTTTTGAGGTTGTATGATTTGAGCAACAGCAAAGCATGGATGAAAATGTTACACTTCTAGAACTCCATTGTTATGGTATCAGGGATTGCCCCAAGGCCCAGCATATGCCAGACAAGTGCTATCCCACTGAGCTACTGCTGCACCTTATCAAATTCCACTGTGTGCATAGTGTTATATTTTGGGATATGGCCAATTGCCAGGTTTTGCACCCCTAAGTTAATGTTTCTTGATAATGTTTCAACTCAGATTAGCAGTACCTGGAATAAACATTGGCCTAGTCTGTTCTGCTGTCACAACAAGTTTCATCCTAAGGCTGTAGTGTGGACATTTGGAGAGTCTCAGATGCCTCAGAATCACAGGCTATAGGCCAAGATGATCTTCACACGATCTCCCCTAGTGTTTACGTGCTTTCACAGGCATTTTTAGGCATTTTAGAGGCCAAAAGCGTGGAGTTTTCACAATCCTCTTAGGAAAGGAAAAAAAAATTGCATATGGGTTCTAAGTTGATGAAAAACAAAACTTGTCTATCCCAGGTAGTTTTAATCTAATCCACACCTTTTAGACATAAACATGTGAAATGATAGCCTTCAAAATGTACCCGATCAATAAGTCAGAATAAGCTAGAGTTGGAAATAGACCTAGATATTTTTATCTTCCTTTCATTATTCTGTCTTCTAATCACACTTGTATTACTAATTAAGAAATAAAAATGTAATACACATTTAGAGAAAAAATATCTTCAGTAATAACATTTAAATTTTGTAAATAATATATGTAATGTATTAATTATTATTACTGTCCTCCTATTCTATTTGGATACCCTGTTCTATTATTATTTTTACTTTTTAAAATAAAAAATGAAATTTTAAATGTGAAAAATTAAATCAGTTTTTGGATTTGTTGACAATTAACTGCATTTTAAACTTCTTATATGTAAGAACCAAAGCTAATTGGATGAGAATAAAATAACAATCACTAGTTAGGATGTTCTCCTGTCCCGAGATTCGCCCCCTCGTTTTACCAGTGAAGATATTCAAAGCGAGGTGCCTCCCAAGGTCACACAACTTGTTTCAACAAAGCGTGGATCTGGTCTTGTGGAACCATCTTAATATTATTTACCCTCTATGCCCACACTGCTATATATATAAGAAATGTCACACTTTCTAGAAAAAGAGGTCTTCCCCTTTCCTACAGATCTTTCAGGTTTATCGAAGTACACCTGACAAATTAGAATTCAATGTATACGATGTGGTGTTTGATTTATGCATATATTGTGAAATGATGTGGACATTTTGACTTTTTAACTATCCATAACCTTTATGCACGTATAGTGTGTGTGTGTGTATGTGTGTGTGTGCATGTACGTGCACGCTGAGTGTGTTAATATCTGCTTTCTAGCAAATTTCACTTGTGTAATACAGTATTTTTGACTCTAGGTGCCTGTGGTATGTTCAGTCTCTGGAATGTATTTACATTTTAATCATGAGTCTGCACCCTTTTACTCAAATCTCCTTGTTCAACCCAACTCTTGGCCCTTGGAAGCTGTCTTCTACTCTGTTTTGGTGAGTTTTACTTTTTTTAGATTCCCCATATATGACATCATAATGAGTTTTACTTTTTTTAGATTCCCCATGTATGAGGTCATAAGAGTTTTACTTTTTGTAGATTCCCCATTAAGAGATCATAACATCTTTCAAAATGATGTAGAAATGGCTCATTCGTACACAGAAAGATGATTAATATCAACAGTTGTCGGAAGGTAGGTAGCCCACAACCACTGTGACTGATCACTTCTCAACTCTCCAGATGGCTGATCCAGAGAAGCAGCCCTGTGTGTTCTCACTGGTGGGGACACAGGGAGACGCTGTCAAACATTGGTGGGACTATAAATTGGCATAACCATTATGAAAAACACTGGGAGACTCAAAAATTTAGATCTAGAACAACTGTGTGACCCACAGTTCCACTCGTGGGTATATATTCTAAGGAAATAAATCACTGTCTCAAAGGGAATTCTGTTCTCGTGCATTCACTTCAGGATTATTCTCAATAGCCAAGAGAATAGCTCAATAGCCAATAACTCAATAGCTTAATAGCTCAATAACTCAATAACCAGAGTACCCAAGAGAAGGAATGGGCATAAGTGTCTGCGGACAGAGAGCAAATAAAGAAAATGTGACACACACACACACACATACACACACACACACACACACACACACACACACGAAAGTATAATAATCAGCCTTTAACATAGAAGAAAATTATGTCATTTCCAGCAACATCAGTGAGTCTAGAGAACTATGCCAAGTGAAATAAGGCAGACACAGATCATCTACCATTTTAATGAGAAAGTAATTGAGTATTTCAAGGTTTACTGAAGATTTCTGGCTAGATAATAAGCAGAGGAGAGATTTGAATGCAAATATTTTTGAAGAAATTAATACCTTAATTATAATGATAATGTGTAGAATATTGACACTTGCTACATGCCAGGTGTGTTGATAAAGTCTCATTATTAAGTAACATTGACAGATGAAGGTGTGAGCCTTAGAGAAGATAAGTAACTTGAACAACATCATAGAGATGTCAAGTGTGAGACGATGTTGTATCCTAGCATTTGACTGTACAATCTGTGGTGTAACCCTGTACTGCATTAAATTATATAACAGGCCAGAATTTCTGCCCCTCAAAACTGTGTTACCAACATCAAGTTCTCTAGAATTTTTATGATGTCTTCTGTAAATTGATTGTTTTAAGAATCTATGCCTTCACTGCATTAAAACAGAGAAAACCATACATTTGAAATTGCTGGCAAGTGCAGTATGTGAAATATGATAAAATTGCACCATGAGTACTTGGGAGCTGTGGCTGATGGTTTACAGATAGAAAAGAATGGATCAGTTTGGGCCACAGAGTACTATTTAGAACCAGATTACAAAAACATCTGATGCTCAGCTATGCCTGTAGTTCTGGCTTTCAAACGATGGAACTTAGCTTAGCTTTAATAATTAATTTCTCTGTTTTCTTTAGCATAATGTTATTTTCATTACCTGTAACCAAAGAAATGGAATAGAAGCACCTATTCACTTAGCTACTTCATCTCAAGAAAGGTCCCTGATTTCTCTGTCACCATCTGATACAAATCCTTTTGTCTGCTTAAGGTGAGAATTAAAACATTCAATTAATTTGTTTTTCCAAATATAGTGCATGAGTATAGGAGACACTCAGAGAATGATATCTGTTTTTCTACCAAAATAAATAAATCAAACAACTAACAAATAAATAAAATTCATTCCATTTTCACTTTAGGTGTAGTTCTTACATTTTATGTAAAAGGTCTCCAAGGGTTTGCTGCTGTGCATTAGGGCTTTTTACAAGCTGTGAAAGGGGGAAACAAACAGTTGATACAATATAATTCTATTCATTATTATTTAAACCTCAAAAACTTTTTAAACTTACTATTAATGTTTATTAGTTGCAAGTATTTGTTCAAATTTTTTTTATTTACAATTAAAAGTTGATGTTTAAAATGGCATCCCCAGGGGCTGTGGATTTAGCTCAGTGGCACAGCGCCTGCCTGGCAAGTGCAAGGTTATAAGTTCGATTCCTGGAAGCAGAAGAAAGAAAAAGTTTAAAATGGCATTCTCATATTAATGTTATACTTTACACATTTTACAGGAGTAATGTCCTTTATAACATGTTGTACATTTTAGGATAGTTTGCATTCAGTTGCTGATTAAAAAAAATCAAATCTCCAATACACTATTCACTGTGATTTAGCCTTCTATGCTATGAATTTATTGTAGCAATTGGCATAACTTTTGGAAATACAACTTTTAAAATGTTATATGAAATTGTTTTATACATATAATCACAAAGATAGTCCTTGAGATATTGCTTGTCTTGGGTGAATTTTTTTTTTTTTTTTTTTTTTGTAATTTGAATTGGACTTAGGGTCTTGAGCTTGACAGGCTGGAGCTCTGCTGTGGAGCTCTATCCCCAGCCCCTCTGTGTGTTGTGTGTGTGTGTGTGTGTGTGTGTGTGTGCATGTGTGTGTGACATTTATTCAATTAAACAATTCATTTGGGGGGGTGATATATTTTTAAACCTTTGCTTCATAAGCAAATATCTAAAGAGTTCAAGGTGCTATTGGTGCTATTGGGTAATAATGAAATAAATGGTATTAAACTAAGCAAGAATCCATTGTGTCTGAGAAACATTCAGTGCCCAGAGAACATAAAATTCGAAATTGTACTATATCATTGCTCTGATTGCAATAATAATAACCACTGTGTTTTTGAACCTGTGAGTCATTTCTATAGAGACTAATAGAAAGATAGAAGTGTTGACATTTTTATAAATGTCCCGTCACTTAGTCAGAGGTCAGTTATATTCCACAGGAAGGATTTCCATGGGCTGCCTGCAAAAGAAGCTTTTGAAACCATCGCCTGCCGCTTGTTCCACTTATCTTTTCACCTTCAGGACAGGATTTTGTGTTATCAACCATTTCACACATTCAAAACTAACAGACTGTGGCTGACAGATTCATTTTTAAGCATAAAATATGACTTACCTCTCTTTGTGTGTTTGGAGGAGTCAAGGTTGGAGGTGTTTTCAACGTTAGAACCAAAATGTGCATTTCAGCCATGTCAGACATAATGAGGGTCTTGTTTTGGAGGAAAGTACACACACTCTTTCGCCTGGCGCTGCTCCCCATTTTCCCTTCTCCCTGTGGCGTCTGAGAACCGCTGAAGGAATGGGAGGGGGAAGTCACCTCTCCTTTCTGTTCAAGACACAAACCCAGCTGCTCTCTCCGATTTCTATGACATTCTCAAACCCTAAAAAATAGGTGCATCCCCACTGAACACAAATATATGGATAGTCATAGATTTAATCATGGCTTCTCCAGATAGAGAGAAAACACATTTTCTTTTTCTCTTAAAATATTTGTTGATTACAAATTATTTGAAACTTAACTAAACTTGTTTCTTAAATATTGTATATGTTTACAAGTCATATTACTTAGAGCATGTTCACTTGGAACATTTGCATCAGGTACCCATTCTCGATTAAATATGATTATAAATATATTTATTTTAATATGACATACTACTACAAATTTTATCAGTGTGTTTAAAGGTTGTTTGAAGTTAATAGGATAAGAAATTCCAGGAAACATTCCTTAATTTTCTCTCGTGGAACATAGCCATGGTTCCCATTGTGTTTCCTACCCACATTAATATGTGAAAGTCCGCCCTGCAGTATGGCTGCATTTGGAGACAAACCTTTCAGGAGTGCCTGAACATAGGGGGCTCCAAGGTGCTGGGGATGGGGTGGAGAGGAGGGCATCACTAAGAGAGGACATATGGGAGACAGAAAGCATCTCTCCTGAGCTCTGTCTACCCATGTGCACACCGGGGCCCGGGAAACAGAGAGAGATGACAGCTATTTACCAGCCTGTAGGCCCAAACTAGGACCAGAGTCCACCAGCACCTTAGTCCAGGACTATTGGCCTCTTGAGATTTGAAAACAGAACTTTGCTTTGCTTCAGCTCACTGATCGATGACATTCTGTGATGAGCATCTAGCTGGCAACCGTAGACGTGTGGTACAGGTGGGAGACACAAATTCTCCTTTCTTCATGTAATGATGCAAAAACCAGAACAAGAAATGAGTCGAGATATCAGCATTGTGAGATGCATTCACTGGCACTACTTTACACACTTTACTCTTTTACATTTAATCAGAAAATAACACCGAACCTAAGTTTGATGTTTTGCTTGTCACTCCTAAAGTCTTGTTTTTAAATTACTCCATTCAGCAGCTAATATCGTTATATTTTTATCACCTAGACTTTCCAAGTAAAGAATAAATCTAAAGATATATATATATGTGTGTGTGTATATGTATATAGACATATATATGTAAAATATATATGTATATAGAGAGAGTTTAGTTAAAATTTGAATAGAAATTCAAATTTTTTCTCATTCTATCCATGGTTTTCCTGTTCCTCTCCAATGCAACTTATATCTTATTTGAGATCACTCCAACTTAAGATAAAGCTATGTTTCACATTATGTATCTTAACCTTCACATAACTGCATAATTTTGGAACCGTGCTCCTTGCTCAAAATAACAGAACTGGTGCTCAATATTACATTTTTCTCCCTTCTTTTAAGCATTAGCTTCCCCACCTTCAATGTTTGCAGGATGTCTGAAAGTTTGCATACTTTTTTGCACAGAATGGGATACCCTCAATTCATAGAAACTTCCTGCATATAGAAATATATATAGCTTGAAAATGGAGAGTTATCCTGATGTTTTTCTCTACACAGGAAGTATAGAGTCTGCCTGTTTATACCAGAGACACAAATTATTTTATACGCTCACTAAAACAAGTAACACGAGCTATGTGGATGGTGTCTAAGTCACACTGCCACAGGAAAGAGCTGCTAAACTAAAAGAATTTCTTACTTGTGATTTTGAGAAATGAAACACAAAAGTGTTCACATGCAGTGAAAGAGCAACTGCCTTATTATTTCTCCATGATGACAGTTTGCCCGTGGAATCAAATTGTGTGATTTAAAATTATATCAGATTTAAAAGAAGTTGCTTTGAAACTGTACATACTTCCGTGCACTGTCTATTGGAATTAATTCCAATCCTCCGATTTTTGTGCTGAATCAGATCATAAATCAGACTGCTCCCCAATAATTTTATGAGCTTTATGGCAATGGATGATGTTATGAAGAATTTATGAGGGCAAAATCTCTGTTAACTACATAGTTATTACCTTTCCCAAAAGAATAAATCCTAGCTACCTGAGTCCCGAAGTATAAAGTTTTCACCATGCCAGAATTCATAACTGACAGGCACAGCTCCAGGGTCTTAATCATAGGGAGATGTTTTCCGGTTGTAAAATGTGAAATTGGGCCAGAGACGGAAGATTAATAGATCTTCTCAAGTAGTCAGGCCAAGTATATTTTGATTGTATAGGCTCTGCTTTAGGAATAGACTTGGATAGTTTTCTTATTGAATCAACAATGAGATTTGGGATACCTATACAGGAACATTTTAACTTAGAAATTTACATATCTATTTTCCTTAAATGGCAACTGACAAGTTAGTTGAATTATGCTTTGTAAAATTATGTTAAAATGTCTGATATCTGCACACACACAACTGATTTAATCGTTGAAACTCAAAAAATAGTTCAGTTCCTGTATTACACAGACAGTTTGAGTAAGTCCAACAGATCATAGCATACTGAAATTTCACTTTAGAGTTTTTTTGAAATATGAGTATGTAGTAATTTAGAGAAAGGCCTGATTTCACAAGTACAGAAAGTGAATTACTGTCCACTATACACAAGCACAACTCATTCAGTGGAATCAGTTCTTGGTGAGGGTGATGGAATTTTTACATGCAACTGTTGAATAGGTCACGTTGAACCTGGTTTAGCCACCTGCTGGAAAGTTTAATGAGAGTTTATGCATCCATCATAAGTTGTGAATTTCATAAACACTGATTAAATGAAAGAGTTGGTGTAATTTTTCACATGAATATATGATAATAATGTAAGGCATGATTAGTTTGAAAGTGTTGGGAAAGGGTTTCTGAAATAGAAAAAAGTCAAGATTTTGTACTGCAAACACATATCAAGAAATACCTCCAAAGTTCCCATATATATATACATATATATATACACACACACACACACACACACAAGTAGTAAAATGTATATAACAATTCCACTATGTCTCAGCTCACAATAATCCCATTTCTTGATATTAGATTTCCATATATGTATAAGCCATGAGTAGATTATGGTACATACAGAGATAATACATTTATTCAAATTACAACATAATTTGTGTAGAAATGATGAGAGTTCTAAAGTTTGTCTTTTTAACTTCCATTCTAAATTTTATTTTGAACATTATTTCCTACCAAGTTAGAGCAAGTTGTCATATTCTAGTAGTGACTGATATGATGTTTAATGAATATTCAAGGTTTAAATAATATCTCTGGACATTTTCCCTTCAGATCATCATGTTTTTTCAAAGTACTTGATCCAGTACAACTGACATGCTTACTTCATGAATTACAAGTCATTACAAGTACAGGTTAAAATAATGTCTTATTTTCACTTTGTCAGA